ATTTGTTTCACCAGTAGCTAAGTATAAAAGGCCACTGAACACTGGGTGCTGAGCCCAAGGTGCTATTGCGAGAAACGAACTAACTGCATGGGCGTTTTCTTAGATTTCCCCATTCGCAGGCTGATTACTATCCAGTATCCTTAAAAAGTCATTCACGAACGCATGTTTTTCCTTAGGCAAGTAGTTCTAGTGTAAGTTGCCGTAATTAATCCAATCTAGTCCTCAGCTGTCATGATTTTGCCTTATTTTGAGAAGGAACAGTAACTAATAATACCAAACAGTCGCATTTATCAACCATCAACGATATTTAGATTCTGTTTTATACTGTGTTTTGGAGATTTATTAGTATCTATCTATTTAGTAGATTGGCAACGGTATCTAATTCCGTCTCATCACTGTTCTCTTCAAAAAAGGAACACATCCATTCTAGGAGTGCAGAGAAAGTAAAACTTCCAGGCCACGCAAATGTCTTTTTCAATAATTTCTTGGAAGATTATGAAACTTCTGGACTTCGTGTGTTTGCAAGTAAGGAAACAGTCGTTTAGCATAGGCCCAATTTCTCTGCGTTACAAGTTGGCGAAAGACAGATTTTTATGGTCCACAGTTTTGCAGTTGTCAACGGCTACTGTCAAATGCTTATATGCTCACTTTATTATTTATTATTATATTTTATTATTATAAACCTAACAAACGGATTATTTTAAAACTAACAAAACCAAAATCTCTTGCAGCACAATTCATTTATTTTTCTCATATTGATTCCTAATGCTATTTTGGTGGTACTGGCTGCATTTATTGCGTTGTGGCCCAGCTTCATCTCGTAAAGGAAAATTCGTTCTTTGGTTTATTTCTATATTTTATTCATCTGATTATGTCGCTGTTGCGCATTTGTAATGTGTACACGAACGATTTTCCCTTAGAAAAGTCTTCTACAAAGACCTCTCAATCCTTAGGCAAACAACCCCAGTCTGCTTTACCGTAATCTAAGTAATCCAGTTGAATCTAATGACATTCAGTCTAGAACTCAAACGATTCCATACAGTAATATTTTAATGGCAATAATGCTAATGCGATCTGCTAATTACTTTTTAATGAAAATCCTTTCTTCTCTGACACTTCAACTGCAACAAACCAATAGAAATCATCTAACGTCATTGGCATGTGACAATACAAAGACAAAGTATTTTATATGCATAAATTTGTTTTTAATGCAATATTTTTTCATCATAAATTTCTAAAAAGTTACTTATAAAAATAAAATTTGTTAACTAATGTCCTCTAATATTTTTGCGTATTTAGTGAGAAACGAAAACTTTATCAAGTTAATCTTTTAAAGGCGAACTAAAAATCGTGTACAATTAATCGCAGAGCTATATTATCCATGTTATTTTTGCTCAAATTGTTACCAAAAAATTATCCATATTATCTAGAAAACAAACTTTGATCTTTTCCGTTATAGGACATTTTTTTCCTTTCTACTCAGATTTATTTTTCAACTTTATATTTCTAGCAAAAAACGTACTTCACCGTCAGCTCACTTCTAATGACTGTAAACTTTTTCTAAAGATAATAAACCTATCCTTTAAGTTAGTTATTTCAACAAACAAAAGCGAAATAGCATGGTTTATTTTTAAATTTTTACTGACAGTACTTACTTTCAACACATAAGAACACATAAGAACACTGATGTAACAGGAGATGGTATCTTAAGACTCAAATACTTCTTCAATATAATTAACCTACCAAACATTTAATATAATTAAGCTATAAGCATTTCCTCATAAATATGTATATTCTAAGACCTAAAATCATTTTTATGTTTGTTCCTTTCTCTGAATTCTTCCGAGACAGCTTCTCTTCAAAATATTATCATATTCTCGTAGTTTCTGTTAACGAATTCATTTCTTACTATTTCAGCCACACTTCAGAATCATAATTTAAATACTATATTGATAGATTCAAACTTCAGATAAGTTTTGAATAATTTGTCTTCTCGTCATTTGATTCTTGCAAATACTGATTTACCTTCTATAAACAGCCTATAATCCAAAGTGGATAAGACGTTCATTAGATGCTCAGCCGTTAGCCACTACACCACAAAGTGGTATTCCCACGTGGAGGACATTTTAAGGGGAACTTGCTCATATCCACGTTACGCATGGGAGAAAGCCCTGAAAACTCACATGCAGCCAACCCGTTCGCAGGGACTGGAATCTCGGACCGAACTATCAGTGTTCAGCGGCTTTTAGCACTCAGCCGCTGGTGAACTTTCCCATGTGTAGCATGAAAGCGAACCAGTTTTCCTTACAGAACCCTCCAAGTAAGTATCCCCCCTTTTAGGCAAGATAGCCCTAATATGTTCTGTCATAATCTAATAAATTAAAACTCTTCGCTCTCCTGTACCCTAGGCAACGTTATCAATAATGAAGCATTAAATTTACAAATGAGTTAAGCCATGTTAGGTTAGATGGGGAGGAAGGAGCTTGGGAGATATTCCCCGAATAAATGAATATGTTGGCAGTAGGATACACTGAAGTCAGTCACTGTTTGAAAAGACAAATCTTTAAAGTGCCCTAAAAATAAAGTTGTCCGCATTCTCATGCAGATCAATTTCTAACCCACAAAAAGCAGCCTTCGTGTAGATGAGGGCTCCTTTATACTTGAGCCCAGTTATACAAATGCAATTTTTATTTCTTTGCAAATCAAAATAGGTGACTAAGTAATAAGAGTAGTCTCGGCATAATTACACTGAGTTATGAAAATTATTAATGAAAGCCAATTTTTGTAATTTGCAATTGATCCTTTTGCAAGTGATAGCACCTTTATGTTGACACACTCTTATATCTTGTTTCATACCGTGGCTGACTTGCATAAAGATGCCGACAACGTTATGATGGGCACCATCATGAAGGAGTCCCGTTGGGAAATGTTAAATAGTGATAAATTGAACTAAAGCTAACAATTATAAATATCTAAAAACAGTCAACATTAATATCATTCACACACACAATTGTACTTAAAATTCTCGCATAATTTTTTCTTAACTTTCAACTAACAATCTGGAAGCTTCCGATTTATTAATATAATATTTAACTTCTAAAATTAACTTTTTTCGTTAATAAATGTTAATCTCTAGAACTGGGCTGTTCCTTTTTTCTTCTATGTGTCATTTAAAATTTTTTATAAACTTTTACTGATATAAAAATATTTATAGTTAAAATTATATAGTTTAAAAAGATATTTTCAAGAGGTAAATAATTTGGTATAAATAAAGGGCAAATGCGATGTGAATACCAAAATACGGAATAAATTAAAATTGCTTTAAATTATTTTAAAAATTTACTTTATTTTAAATTTTATTATTTATTTTAAAAATTAATATATTTTGTCTTTTTATGTAAATGTTGTACTTAGCATTATTACAAAACTGAGGGAATGGATGATGCTTGTCATACAAGTGAACTAAAATGTCTTGAACGTTAGACATTTCTAACTGGAAGTTCTAGAATCAGCCAAAAATAGTATTCCAAGATAAAAAAGAGTACTGAAAATAGCTTTGAGTTAAATCTTATAAAGGAAGAGTGAATCGCACTAGATAACTTAATAATCCCATAGTTCATACTTCTTCTGTACTCTCGGATTTGAAGAAACTCCACTGGAGAGTGAAATAAGATATTTGCATTAATGAATAAAATTTTACTTCTGAGATAAATGTAATTCTGAAAAATGTTAGTAATTACTGAAATACTGGTGAATACTGAATTACTGATCTTCAATTAATCTTAATTTCTTTTGTTCTTTGTATTCATGCAAAATGGCTCGGAAGCATAACATTGACCCAAAATATGCAATTTTATTAATGTAGTATTTCATTGGCTTTCCATTCGTGTGTATAAAATCTTAGTTTTAACTTCATAATTTGATTCATTTTACAAAACATAGTTCAGAGAAAACATTCAAATGCACTGAGGATTTTCTAGTTAATATTTATGATATTTAATAATCTCTGGCAATATATACTCCGCCAAAATTCTATATAACTGCAGAAAATATACTATTTACATTTATTTATGCTCTGGCAATATAATCTCGTATTACTCGTAAGTTACATCAGCGTTTGTCCTTAAAACAGCGTCTGGAAAAACCAAAAAGGTCGTCCATATCCCTCCAGTATTCAGTAAGAAGGCATTTCCTCTTGTTAGCATAATGTCAAAATGAAAGGTGATGTCAGTCTTATTTTAGTCTTGGCTTCCCTTAAGAAATTGAAATGTGTCATTAAATTAACTTATTTTGAAAAATATTGACGAATAAAATATTTCATGTAATAATTTACGACGAACATCCCTTCGCGCTTTCTGAACACTTACATACTATGTTTATCCAACAAGGTTATTATTAAAGGTGTTTTTGGTGTGCTACAGTTTATAATCTTAGTTTTAGAATGCAAGCATTTCGGTTATATGAAATAATCTTTACTCATATTTTCGAACGTTTCAAACATTTGATCGATTGATTAATTTAGCAATAAATGTATGAATTAGACTTTGACTATAATTTGTAATATCCTCTAAATTCTCTTTTTTTCAATTTATTTCCTTTTCTGTTCTAAAAAAAATAAAATTTTTGTAATCCTTCTGAAGTGCATCGTTTCAAAGTTAATCGCTGTCATGAGATTCAAGTGTAATGCTTTGTTATGCTGACGTGAAAATTATTTAACCATTGATCAAATAATATGAGATGACAAACGTCTGTCAAAGTCTTACGTCAAACGTCTGTCTTACAAAAGTTGTTAAATAGTTGAGTTCATAATATTTAAAATTCCAATTTCAAAGTTGCATTTTTTATTTACATCTTGCGTAAACATTTTCCTAACAACGTTTCTTAATCTTAACCAAAAAATTAAGCATCTTAAAATTAATTTGTACTTTAAATTTACTGTTTTTTGAATTCCGAAACACAGTTTATGAACAGTTTAGTTATATATTTATTATATTCTACAGTGTTACAGAAGGTTTAACCCCAGCAAATTTAAAGTATGTGGAACGAGTTTTTCAGGATGCTGTTGGAGACAAACAAGAAATCGATTTGGAACGCTTCAAGAAAATTGTCCAGTCTAAAAATGTAAGTCCTTATTGCTACATTTCCTAATAATAGTATCTTCTAAAAGATCTTTGGAATATTTAAAATTAGCCAAAAAATGAACTTCAGATTGGCTGAGATTTGGATTTCGTCACCCTTTTAATAAAATGACTGGCATTCATTATGATCTCAAGGTTTGAAATCGGTTGCCACTAAGGATTTTCTTCAACAGTCGTTGAATTTTTCTGCACTCATCAGACTTCCGCTATTAGATAACCAATAGAAACTTTGTCGTTAGCATTTGATCGTTCCGTAAAATTGTTCTGGTTCTCCAGAAATTGAACTTTCTGGTCATTTTCTCGCATATTGGTAAAATATTTCGTTCTAGTCTTAAGGATCTCTTTTTAATTTAATTCTTGGAAAATTTGTGACATTTATCACTATGATTTATCAAACATTGCTCAAGCTAAAAATTTGTAAAAATACTGCGCCTAGGATCATTAATCTTATGTTGGAAAAGCAACAATAAATAAATATTCGATAGCTAGTCATAGCTTAACGAGTGATCACGATTTTGTCTTTGGTTGTACAAAAATTTCCCCGAAGTTTTTTCAGCTAATCAGTCTTCCCAGCACTTTCAAAACTATACCACCTTAGATTTTTTAAGTATTTTTACCCTTTCCTTACAAATGCAGATTCGTCCGCCATTGCTCTCCATATAAAATAGTTGCTTTTGTCGTTTCTTTTCTTATCTTTGCTCTCGGAGAAGAGGAATAATGTATGATTGCCCTTGAAAATAACTTAATTTAAAAAGCAAGCCAATCTAACTTTCCTTTTTCCTCTAATTTTAAATTTTACATTGCGTGTTTCTTTTCCAGATAGATTTTTTAATTATTAAAACATGAGTTTTCCACCTCTTTTATGTAGAATCCTATTTAAAGATTAGTAGATAGATTTAATAGATTCAAAGCATTTTAAATTCTTTATTGTAAGTTTGTTTCTTTAAAGTGTATATTGTAATTTAGTGTTTTTTCTTTTTAAATTTTTATGAAAAATGAGAAACATTAAGCCTTAACTCGGTTTATTCAATTTTTTTTAATGGTTAACATGTTCTCTAACGTTATACGAGTACTATGCAATTATTTGTAGATTTTACTCCTAATTCTCTAATAAAACGTTGATGAGGCCGGATTCAGAAAGGTAATAATGTATGCATGTATGGATGGATGTGTTCATGTATTCATGCATGTAAATATGTACCTTGAGTACGTACATATATACGCGTATAGATAGTACATACACACGTACATACGTTCCTGAATCCAGTTCGGATAACAAAAGAGTACGACTTTGATATTTTAAACTTTTGTTCTATATTGCTGCATGATAAAAGTTCTGATCTGAAATAAAAACTTGCTTTGTATAATCGTCTTATAATTTTCACGCTGGCTGCAGTAACTTCACGGCTCCACCTCATTTTTGTGCGAGTTAAAAGGAACTGAAAAAAAAATTCTTCGTTATAAAAAATGATTTACTTCTATCCCTTTAGAACGGCGCTTAAAATGCGTGAATTAATTCCATTTGTTGTTTTCTTAATCTTTTTAAATAAAAGTTAGTTTCCAGTTTGAAGTCTGGCATGACGCTGTCATGATCGATGCATTTTACTTGCTTCATTTTATGCCGAATTTAGAGCATTACTACATCGTATTTCAAAATCAGTGTGAAATAAACTGTTGAAAGTACCAGTAATAATTATACATAAGGTTATTCTTTTGTCTCATATATAATTAACAAGCTAGGTAGTAAGTACAATACTAAAAGACCAATTTGGTCTAAAACTTTTTTGCGCAATATGCTGCAAAATTAAGGAAATGAGAAGAGAAATTGTAGTTAGCTCGCCGAAAAGTTACCAGGAGCTGTGGCTCCAAGAAAAAGTTCAACACAGTTTTTTAAAAAACAATGTCATTGAAGGGTGAAAAATTAGGCTACACGCGAAATAGAATGTAAAATACATTAAACACAGTAAAATACTAATCGTTGGAAACAAGTAATGGCAAAAAATACAGTAAAATACCTATCGATGTGATAAGTGAAAAGTTAAAACACATAAAACACCAATGGATGGAACAAGTTAAAACAAATAAAACAAATAAAAACATATAAAAATTATAAAGCGGAAAATGGTAAAGTAGCTCAATTCGAAGTCCAACCTGGCTTTTCAAAGGAAATTTCTGGTTAAACGTCGAACCAAGCTAACTCCATTACGCGTTTTGCCGAAACAAACAATTAAAACTTTTGCGTTACAAAATTTTTAATTAGTTAGATGAATTGCCCTAATTTTTTTTTTTTTTTTTTTTTTTTTTTTTTTTTTTTTTTTAGTCTCAATTCTCTGTTTCAATTTCCCGACGCGTCCGCACAAAATGACACATTAAGGTGTAAAAATGTAAATTCAACTCCGATGTATAGCAATGATTAAGATAAAAATAAATAGCGGTCTGCTATTAGTCAAAATATACAATAATGTACCTGCAAGCTTAAAGAATTAACCTTTATAAATTTTAGAAATCTGAAATTTAAATTTAAATGAAAACAAACACAGTGGGGCTTGCTAAGACCAAGAAAAAATTTCTTTGTAAAAGAAACATAAAAACAGACCTGTGGCTATGCAGTCTTCTCCATCGTGAAACAAAGCTGAAAAGGGGTTGTAATTGCCCTCTGTGTCCTTCAACGCTCTCCCACTCGTCGTGTGACGTAAGAAGGGGGAACAATGTCACTGGGCAACAGCCAATGTGATAAGACTGTCCGTTGGCGGGAACTCGCCCCTAGTATTCAAAGGGGGGGTCGGAAGACTGGGAAAGACGTGGAAAGATTTCAAAATGGCGTCAATCAAGTTGTTTGAAGAATAAAACTATTTCTAAAAAGTGAAAATGGCTAATTCAGCTAAAATTACTTAATATGGCCATAAAAGTAAGAGTAAAATGGAAAAGACAGTCATTTGTTAATAAAAGTCGTAATTCTTCAAGCTAGAGGGCTATCAAGCTACAATGAAAAACGAAAAGGCCCGATTTGTTAATAAAAGTAGTAAAATTGGCCATCAAAGTAATTTAAAACTATTTAAACAATAGTATTAAAAGTATTGTGCCAAAATTTTGGAGGAAAGAAAACGTAGTGACAAGATTTATCTGTACATTTTTACATTAGATTCTCAGAATCAGCCATCCACTTTATACCGTCTCATTGGGCTTTAAGTATAAAATATCACTATCTAAAACTCAAAAAATCTAAAAATTGGTAAGCCTAATGCCAGCTTTTTTTAAGGTATTTTTAATTATTTTTTGAGGAATTAGATTATTTTTCAAAATATTCACGAAGTATAGTATTTCTTTTTGAAGGTGTTTTGTTGTATTGCAAATTCTTTTATTCTGAGTAGCTGTGAATAAATTGTGTTAAGGATGACTCTTTTGGAAATATTTGAATTCCAGTTTGTTAATTTTAGTGTTGAAAAATTAAATTCTCTTCTTTTGTCTTAAAATTTTATAAAATTGTAATCAATAATATGTAAATCAAGGTAGACTACATTACGTTGCACTGTATTTGTATTATTTAGTTTTAAGCATGTAGGGTAGATATTAACAACTTCTATTTTGTTGTAGTTATAAATGCAATGACATCATCAATATATTGATAGATGTGTTGGTAAAATTTATGTTGTTCTTTACTGAGTGAACGGACAAAGGTCAATTCTTTTGTAAAAAAAGGAATAATTCACAGACAGAACTTGAAAAATTACCTCCCATTGGAATTCCTTGTATTTGTTTAAAGATGCTATTGTTAAATTCAATAAAATTATTGAAAAGCACGCTTGAGAGAAAAAGTTGCCATTTTTCGGTACTTATTATTGTAGAAATTTGCGGAAATAAATCTGGAAGAGCAAGTAAGCTTGCATATATTTCTTCAAGTGGTAAAGTAGTGTAGAGGTTTTCAAAGTCGTAGCATTGGATATGGTCTATTTTAAGTGAATTTACAGTTTTCAGAACTACTTCGTTACTTGAAATCATCCAGTTGCAATGCAGATCCTTAAAATCATAGTTATTAATTAGGTCACGTATTGGGCGAAGTTTATGTGCAAAAAGATAATCTATTTCTTTAAGATAACTTTTGGTACTATTAGCTATGAACCTGAATTTTATCGGAGACTTATGAAATTTTGGTAGTGCATAGAGATTGGCAAACCTGTTGTTATATTTCCGGGGATGTATTTTAAGTCTTTTATATAGTGCGTTAAATTTATTGAGAAGAATCTTAGTGCTGGTAGTAATTTTTTTGTAAGTGCAGGTGTTATTTAATTCATTATGCAGAAGGTTAAAGTAAAACTTTTTTCAAATAACGCTAAAATTGTTGCTGGCTTTGTCAATCTTTGTGATGATAAAGTTATCTTGCAGTTTTTGAGTAAGATTTTCTAGCTGCTTTTTACTGTGCAAAGAGTTAAAATAAGGTGAATTCAAAAGTAAATGTTGAAATTCTTTAATTAGTGCAGCTTTCCATTCAAGAAAAGTAGTAGTAGGTAAATTGGATCTATTACTAGCTAATATGATAAATTTATCAAGATCATTATTGAATTGTTCGAGGCAAAAGTGCTTATTAATACTGAAAGTAGGACGAAATTTGGTGTCAAGTTGCATAAGGGCTCGCAATTCTAAGTCTTCAATGATATTGAGATCTCCAGTAATAACATGTTGGTGGAAAGGATAGACATATTTATTGTAAATAGGTAGTAGGAAATTACATATGCTGTTTTCTTGTATAACGTGGTGGTTGATAACTAGTTGACCTAAGGTCTTTTCAAATTTAAAACAGGGCTTAATTTGAAGTTGTTGGTCAGGAAGCAAGTGTTGATATTTTTTTAAAGATGCTTGGTATTTTTAGCTGATCGTAAGAAGGGTATATGTATATATATATGCGCGTAAAAACATGCGCACACTGTTTATAAATTTAATTTTATAAGGTATTCTTATAACAAAAGTCAACATTAAACTATCATTTGAAATAATTCTTTAGACTGTGAAATAATATCCTCGCTTCTTCGGAAACAAAAATATTCTTTTTTCAGAAGAGAAAAAAATAACTACTCTGCAATTCGAAATATGCTGAGACTTTTCATTTAATATAAAAAGCCAAGCACTGAATTTTATAAATTTTAAACTTGGTCAATACTGAGGTCTTAATATAAGTCATTTAACTGAAAATCTGTATAACCGAATTACCGGCCTTTAGTATATGTTGTATTGTAACCCCAAATGGTATTGTAGGCATTGAAATCACCGACAATAAGCTGATGAGTTGAAGTTTAAAAACGTAGATTGGAATCTAAAAATTGTATATCTCCATCAAGTGAAGCAGCATGTGGTGAGTAGATTGAAATTAGAGCAATTGAAAGCCCAGTTATTTCTAGCAAAACCCTACATGATTTCTTTCTATCTTCAAGACTGACGGAATCTAGTTAGAATTACAAATAACTATGTCAGCACGCGGAGGTTGCTCTAAATCTGCTTTTTGGAAGATACTCCATTGCAATGGCAGACCAACTATTATTCCATCTCTAGTAAACGGCTCCTGAAGAAATATGATATCAGCTTGATAACTGACACCAAAGGTAATGAATGACATGTGCAGTTGCAGCTCAGCGTTTTGCAAGTTTATTTGCAGGCATTTTATTTTACTTCGAAAATTTTGCTTTTGTAGTTATTGGATTCATATTATATTTGACCAGAGGTACAGAAATATTCTATTTAATTTTGATATTGAGTTCTATTACGGATTTTTATTACTTCTTCTTGGTAAGATGGACAAGCATATACAGGATGATCACAATAATATGCGTACCAGAATATTTATTATTTATGATGCAGTTTATACAATTTGGTTTATTGGCGTTACATTCAGCTTCTCTGTGTTTTTCGCCACAGTAAGTGCACTGACAGTGATAGGGGAAATTATTCGTTTTATGGTTTTATGTTAAACTTTGACAGCTGGCACATCGTCTAGCACATATGAATTCGAAGATATAGCAAGTATGCCAGCCAAACTGGATTGTTTTCAAAGAAATACATTTATGAAAGGTAACGAGTGTACATTCGATAACCCATTTAATTGCATTATTTCGATCTCGAAGTTTAAATAAGGGTTTGTTACTCTTGAAAGAATATTTACAACGGCTTCTCCTGTTGCGTTTAGTGGGAGTTGATGAATAATATATTTTGGTGGTCGCTTTTTTGCCATTCTAGTATGTAGGATATCGTGTGCTCAGATTGCTGGAGTAAGTTATTTATTTCTTATAGATATATGTAATCTTTTCATAGAAGTTTGCATATTATTATAAAATGAAGATTTTGTCAAATATTAACTTATTATTACTGATCTAAGGCTTCTAATTTCTCTTGGTGTTTTTATCCAACAAGCTTTGATATATTGCTCAGACTTATTGTTTTCAGGATAATCTTGGATATTATCTTGGAACCTGACTCATTTGTTTAATCAAGACGCATTTATTATTATTATTATTATTTTTTATTTATTTATAATTCTATCATCTTAAATTGTGAAGAATAATTTTCTAGCCTAATTGTTTCAAGATTTCTTTATCATTATTTAGGCGAAAGAACTGGCTGCTTGAATATTTTCTTAATTTTCCCATGCCCGATTTGAATTAGCCAGTTTGTTAAAGCCCTCCACGAAAGAATCTCTTTTCTTAGGCATATAACCCTAACATGTTCTGCATTAAAATTAAATTATTTCTTCGTCACCTTTCCAACTGCAATAATAAGCTGATGAAAGAAATTATGTAGATATCACTTTTTGCCAATAAAATGAATACCTTTAGTTACGTAAGCATCCTGTAGTTAGTCAATATTTAAATAAGCATACCTGTAATAAAATATGCGATAAAAGTAGTATTTAAATAGATCCATAAGTAAATAATATACGAAAATATCGTTTAATTTACTCTTAGAAATAAAAATAATTTTTGAAATGTGAATTCAAATGGTTATATTTTCGAGATCATATTTGTTTAAATACTTTAAAAAATGAAAGATCCCTGCCTGCGTATATATAAATTGTATTAATATGTTGCGTATTTTCGTTTCATTAACGTGTTAATTTTAAAAACGGCCGCCAAATGTAAGCCAGTTAAAGATATCGGATTTCAGAAAGGTTACCTTTAGAATAAGGTGGGCAAAACTGCGACGTCTTGGGTAAATGGCAATCGTTTATTTACATGCAGCTTGCTTAGTTTCCCTTTCTGTATGGGGAGAGGGAAGAAAGTTCGGCTCAAAGTATGCTATTTTCCCTTTTGCCTAATCTTCCACCATTTGCAAAGGCAACAAACCACTATCCCTCCTGAGAACTTTCGACTCGACTGTATTTTGAAATACCTGAATGCCGCAAAAACGCTATAAATGTGATAACATCCGTACATTCTCTGGGATTCGAATCTGGGCTGCGGCGACATGACAGCCGGCTTGGCTAATCGCTATATCGACCAGGGTGGCTGATTTGATTCCACAGTTTTACATAAATTATAGTATGAGGTAATTATAATCGCCGACTATGGCAATATAAACTCATATTATCGAAAAAGATAAAGAACCATTTTCAAAATTAAGTAATTTAAAGAAAAATGCTTAATTTTTGAATTATTGTGAGTTACTTTACTTTTATCTCGATTTTTGTTTTGCTAGATTGTTCTAAATTGCGTATAGATTGAGAAAGACCTTCATTTTGAAACAGTGCATGGGTTTAAAATAAAATACTTAAAAGCTACTGAATTTTTAACTAAGGAAAGTCCTTGTCCTCGATTTCTATTCTTTATATTGAATTAAATTTTAAAATGATATTTTTCAGCTAAATGCTCTATTTTTCTTCTAGATGTTTTTTGTGGAACGTATATTTAATGTTTTCGATACCGATAAGTCTGGATCCGTGTCGCTGGAGGAGTTTATGCGTGTCATGCGTTGCTTCTCGCAACAGAGCCCAGTAGAAAAGTTGCGCTACTTGTTCGACGTTTATGACTTGAATAGTAAGTATGAACATAGTTACCGTTTTTGTTACTTTGCGTATAACCTTGTATGAATTATGAAAATTTTATTTTATAAAATTAAGAATTCAGACAAATTTGAGACATTAGTCTAAAACTTTGTGGTTAGCTGCATTCATAATGAAGCCTTTGTATTCGGCTTTTGCCACAGGAAACATTACTTAACATCCATTATATCTTGCACATACTTCATTGTTACATCATGCACGAATTACAACTCAACTCCTCAGATTTTCTAAAAGCAGAGCAATTTGTTTTTCAATTTTTAATAAGCAAAGCTTGAGAAATTTGTAGCAAAGATTTCAAAGATTTTTTTTGTGTTGCTCAAACATAATAAAGACGTTAGGCTTGAAGGCGGTTCAAGCAACAGACACGAAAGTAATTTAACATAATAATACCTAATTTTTATTGCTTTTTTCATACCATTTTTTTCATAAAGTGTAGTATCAGTAAATAGTTAATTTGTGCCATTTAGTTTGCTTATTTTATATACATATCGTTTGGTAATCCTGCCTATTTCAAGCTTTTATTATTACTTTATACAAATGATGATAATACGATGGCTTTTAAGTGCTCGATGGCTGCATTAAACGAATAAAAATACTATTAATAAAAAGTAGGCGACAACAATTGTATTATGCAGAATGCGATGCCAGTTTTCAGAGTAAAATAATACATTTTTAATATACTCAGCAATAAATGCAGACTGAACGCAGATAAGCCAATATTATTATTATATTAAAACAGACTTCTCTTCCTCGATACGTCTGTAGAATGACTTCGTGATATCATCCATGATTAACAACGCACTGATGCCATTATCAGGTACACTTGTCATGACGCGACGTAGAGTGTCTGCTAAACATTCCTCGACGAATTGTATTTTTATATCCTTGTACGAAGTAAAAGAAGCATTGTAATCGAGAGAAATTTTGGGAGTCCTATTTCAAGGAAAATATTCCCTCGACCGCTCTCGAAACCATTTAAACGGTGTTTTTTCTTGGCATCTGTACGTACGGACAGAATAAAGGATTGTTTTGCCAAAACGGATTGTAAAATGGATTTAAAAGGCATTCATAAGAGATTTTTCTTTGGCGTCTGTACGTATGTATCTCGCATAACTCAGGAAAGAGTCGCCGTAAGAACGTTGAAATTTTGTAATGGGCGTGCTATAGCGTTTAGTGGTGCACCTCACTTTTTGTCGCAATCGGCTGCACTAGTCTTACACATATATCTTCTCACTCTGTTATCTGGCTCTATGAATTTAGTTTTTTAATTCTCACATGTTGGTAAATTGGCCATATTTTTGCTTTAAAAGCGATTGAATTATGTATTTTGATGGTCTGGTTAAGGTTTTTATGCCTTGAATATACATGCAGTAGCTGTATAATTATCAACAATTCAAAGTTTAAGTGGCGAGTTAAGCCTAACGAACCCTCATTTGTTTACATTTGAAACTCGGTAGAATAAGGAATTCAGTTTCTGCACCTTCAATGTCTTTTTGCCCAGTGGTTCAGTTTTGTGAACCGAAAATTCTGCTTTCTTGGCCGCTGGCCGAATTACATGTTTAACATTAATTTTAAAACTTTAATGTTAGTAGTAGAAAACTCGAATTTTAATTTTAAAAAAATTTTTTGAACCGTTTTAACTATATTTGGTGTTTTATGTTTTTCTGTATTAACAATTTTTAAGGAAGATACTTTGAGTTTTAATGTATTTTTGCTTTGCCGCGAAATGAGAACTGAAGGAATTAATTTAGAATTATATCTCTGATGGAATTCGAGGAAATAAGTTTGGATGAAATGCAACAAAAAATGCGTATAAATTAATAAGCCATATAAAATAGTCATGCGATGTCAACATCAGATTTTTTTAATTATATTGATGTAGGATGTTATTTATGTAGAATGTTAATGAAAACTTTGTCTTTAAAAGAGGAAATTTGCTTCTTACTTAGCAGAGTTCGTATGAATGTAGAGATATGCTGCGGCTAACTATCTGTTCAATGTGATTTTCATCGTGATTGCTAAATCCGCTGAAAATTAACTTTAATTAATCTACTGATGTTAAAAAGATATTAAATCACCAAAAGGCGACAGTAGATTGCTGGAGGAGTATCAGTGGACGCCAGCTAATATACGCTTTTACCTAGAAAATCAAATGAAAATAGAAAGAAAAAATGTTCGTTTAAATATAATTAACTTCAGTAAAAAATTTTAAATACTGCATTAACTTTTTATATCATTTAAATCATGGCAAAAATGAAAAAAATAATTACCAGCTCAGTTTGATTTACTAAGAACAAGATCCAACATTTGGTGTTCATTTATCTGGACCTCGCACATAAGATGCTCCAAAATGATGTTTACATTCTTTGAACGTTAATGTCAGGAATACTGATAACAAGTATTAATATATTTGGTGTTACTTATCTTAAATATTACTATCTATCTGCTTACTGTCTTACTTCTAGATAAGACAAGATACTTAGATAAGTAAGAAAGATTAGCAAGTCTTACTTAGTCTAAAGTTACTTATCTTAAGTGTTCAAAAAGATAGCCACTGGATGCAATATATTTTGGGACATTCGGTAGTCGCAGATTTTTTGTATCAATATTTCTAATATTAAAATAATTATTCTCTGACAGGTGATGGTACTATTCAGTTCAGCGAGCTGAGGAATGTGATCAGCGAGTGCATGAAAGAAAATGGTTTGACCTTCGAAGAGACTGAAATCGATGAGCTGACTCGTATGCTGTTCGAAGATGCGGACACGGACGGCAGTGGAACGATTACTTTCAATGAATTCAAGAACCAATTACAGAGACATCCCGCCTTCATGGAAAATCTCACACTCAGGTTATTTTATTACTCAGAATACAGTCATTTAAATAAATTTTAGCTCAAACCAGAAGTGTTAAAATTAGGTTAAATATTCTGATATACCTAATCATATATACTACGTATTCCCAAAGAGGCTGGAAATAGTCATTAACAATCCCTTTATATGAAAAGTCCTGGAAGATGCGTGTCAGAACAACTTTGAAACAGTTAGTAGACTAATCGGACTGAAAGTTTGCATTTCAAATGCAGAATCGTTACCATGTTTGTAGCTTTTTATTGACCAGTTTTTGGCTTAATAAAATTCAGACTCGTCTAAGAATTTTACGTCAAAATGAACCTAATAAAGGATCTTCAAAAGTCTCCATATCACGAAGAAAACAAATTTATTGTTGAAAATAAGAGTTCAGAAGAATGTAACAAACAGATATTACATAGAATTTAGTTACCTTTGCATATATTATTCTAGTTCTCTACCAATCTCCCATCTTCCCAATGACTTAAAATTCGTTTTGGCGGTAAGGAAATATTCCTTGTTTTACAGCATCTTAAATATGAAATTTACTCAGATTTATAACAAATACTTTAACTAATTTTCACCGAAAAGAGTCGAGAATTGAGGAAATGGGAAGCCCACATTCTTCTTGAGACGATCCATTGATTATGGAATGAGATAATACAAGAAAGTCAGTAAAATGAGGTGGGTTTGTATCTCACTGCCGTAAATTTGCATTGTAAATGTCATTTGCATTTATCTTAGCTGCCTTCATTCCATCTGTGTACAAAAAACTACTACGTCAAGCCTTTGAACAGTCTCTACTGATACTGAATAATAATCCTTCAGTGCCTATCCCATTTTTTAAATGATTAGTAGACAAATTGATATTAATTTTTCTTTTAGCTTGTTTGTAGAATTATCCGTAACTCGTTTTACTGAATAACATTACATCTTACTGAAATAACTTTGTTCCTCGATATAGCTTAAGATCCCCATTCTTGTAAAAAACAAAACTGATTCTTTCATTAGGTTCTAGCACGATTCATTTTACATGAAAGAAAAAAAAATATTTTCAATAAAGTGATTAGAAGCAATGTTTTTGAAGTCGTGATTAGTGTTCTTGTCTCAAAGAAGAAACTTACATTTAATTATAAGCAATTCTTGCTTAGACAAAATGTGCAATTGAAGAATTTCCGATTACTATCAGTCTCTTTAAGAATTTCAAAAAATTAAAAAATACAATTATCATAAAGTTGCAATTAAATTCCTATCTGATCTTGGTATACAGATTTCAGGTTAATACCTGAAATAATTTTAAGCCAAATAGTTGATAAACCTACTAGTTTAAAAATTAGTTTCAAAGAGTAGAGGGCTTTTCAAAATAATAGGAAAACTTTTCTACGGTATTTAAATTACAATTCCTAAATTACATTCATATGAGACTTAACTTCACTCAATAAATGAAACTTTTTTATATAAAGCATAGTTATATATTCCTTTTACTGGATCACTTCTGAAGCTTGCTTTAAATATTTCCCGTAAATAGTAATAGTTATTGGGTTGACAAGAAAGTAATTTCGGTTTGCACAAATAGATAGGGTTATGTTCGTTTTGTTATTCTTCTTCGAATCTCCCCTTTTTTTGGGGGGGCTGACACTTGAGTTTGCTAAACAAATTCCGTGTATGTTTGCCCACAATTTTTAGTTTGCGGTTAGTTTTAACATGGGGTGTAAAAATTAACATTTTTGATATATTTTTATTAAAAAAATTTCATTTTGGAGATTTTTCACTTGAAAATTCCTAATGTTCTGTCCGACCTTCTGAAGCTGATGGCAAAATTAAGCCATAAATTAATCGAATCGCAACTGTACCAAAAATTGACAGAAAATTAAACGTATCGCATACAAATGAAAATCACATAAGATGGCTTGGACTTGTTCGAACTCGTTATTTGGGTTCCGCGTAAGTTGAAAAAAATTCACTTAACACAACGAATCAATATTTTCGATACGCATTTCAAACGTAATGCAGTCGACTTGTTTTTAAAAGTAAGTATCACTGATGATGAAAATGGATAGTCTAGAGTAACATTAGAAGAAAATTATCATGGTCAGTACAAATTTTGTCGAAAATTAAATTATATCATAAAAATATTATGTTGTCAATTTGGTGGGATTACAAAGGTGTTGTGTATTTTGAGCTGCTTCCGAACAACCGAAAGATCAACTCAGATGTTTACTGTCAACTTATGAAACTGGAGAAAGCAATTAAACGGAGAAAGGCAGAACTTGCAAATCCGTAAGAATAGTGTTCTACTACGACAATGCAGGGGTCGCTCATCTTTGGCAACATGTACGAAATTACTGGAGCTTGGTTGGGAAGTGATGTCACATCCTATATAAAGCTTCCCCCTTGAACCATCGGATTATCATTTATTTTGAAGTTTACGAAGCTCTTTAAATAGTAAAAATTTCAGTAATAATGATGACCTCAAATCGCATTTTGCTGATAAAAACTAGATCTATTAGCTCGGAATCATGAAGTTACCAGAAAGATGGCAAAAGGTCATCGAACGAAATGGAAGATAATTGATTGAAGAAAGTAGAAATTGTATTTTAGTATAGAAATAGTTTAGTTTGTATTTTAGTGTAGAATAGTTATTAGAAGAGTGTTTTAGTGTAGAATAGTTGTTAGAAGAGTATTTGGTGTAGAAAAGTTGCGTTTCATTTCACATAAAAAAAAACCGAAATTACTTGCCAACCCGATATTTTACAAGGACACCAAATCCTCTGACTGAAAACAGTGAACATATATTCTATGGATCTTTAAAGAAAAAATTATAAAGACAGGTAAATTTATAAATATTTTGCTGCACTTCTGAGTAATGGTTTTATTTTCAGTATAGAGAGAAGTCTTTTACCTCCAATGGAAGCTCCTAAAAAACATCAGTGGTTGAAGCATTTAAATCATCGAAAAGTAACATGGAAAAGAATACGGAATAACTGGACCAGTGTGGTATACTTATGGCTATACTTCTTTGTCAATCTCGCTATTTTTGGTTCCAGGGCTTATCAGTATTCAGACCATAACGCATTTGTGATAATAGCTCGAGCATGTGGTGAGTACTCTTTTAGTGATTCTTGCATTGCAATTTGGAAGATTTTTGTAAAGAAAAAAATTGCCATTACGGTATTTATGTATTAGTTCAACTACTTTGGCGACTTTTTTTTTTTTTTTTTTTTTTTTTTTTTTCAGAAGAAAGAATGACGACTTAAAAGTGCAAAAAAGTCATTTATTACTTACATACATGCTTTATGTTTTAATTCAGTATTTATACTTAAATTCAATCCATGAACCTACTTACAAGAGGAATTTTATTTCTTTTGCTCTGTAGAAATATCGTGGCCATCTCTTTAAGAATAGATAAAAGCAACTGTTCTGTTCAGCTATTTTGGGGGCAAACCACGTATTTTTGCTTTAATTTTTATCGCAATTATTCCCACTGTGCACAGATCTTAAAAGTATTAAAAAAGTGTTGAAGACAAAACTTGGAATACCACAAAAGGAAGCATATGAAAATGGCGAAGTTGCTTGTTAAAACTGAAGAACTGTTATGAGGACAGTTTTCAGAGTTTTGCACATTCTGAAAATTTTACGGATTCTATTGAAATGATTGCGCTAATATGAAAGTTCTTTATTACTAGGAAAATGGAAGACATAAAATGTTTTTGGTTAAGATTATGCTCTTTACTTTGAGAAATAGCAGACCTGTAGTCTTTTGCAGCGTGACTTTTAATTAGTAAAACTTGAAAGTAATTCTAACTTCAAAGAAGCTTTAACCAGGCATCTTTCAGAATCACTCGTTGAGAATTCCTCTTTGTCGGAGCTAGATTTACTGTATAATGTAAAGATTAAATAATTTTAATCCCTTCTGGAGATAATAAATCTGCTACTTAATGTAAGGTATGAAGAAGTAGACGCTGTTTCTCAGCTTTCATTTACCCTGATGCCTAAATGATTGGTCAAATGGCAAGAAAATCTAAATGAACTATTTAACCCATTTAAAGATTTGAATCTATGCCTAGTGGCATATTTCCCTTTCTAAACCAATGTCATCAAAAGAGTACTAGAAACTTCTATTGGAAAAACATGGAATTGCTCAAAATGAAACTAACATGAGCTCTTTTCCTCCATCTTATACCGGAGAAAATGCAGCTTACTTAGTTTTAGCTACATAGGTTGCATAGCTTAATTTACGCGAATGTGTTTCGAATGCTTTTATCTAATTCTTGTATAAAAAATAATACAGCTTGTATGAATTTGAAGGAGGGATAAGAAAAAGTAAATTACACGTTATATTTACAATATTCTCACACGCATACAACATGCATGTTATAAATCTCGCGATTAGTTCTGTTAATGTTTGTAACTTACTTTATCCTTTTTTTTCATTATTTGCTGTTATCAAAGCATTTTTGTTAAGTGATTTGATATTTTTCTTTCATTATCTGACATATGTATAGTATTTATTTAAATGATAGGTGATTATATTATGCACATAGGGGTTCAAAATTCTTAGACTGAAGGTCAGGAACACAAGAACAAATTATTTTGTATACAAGATATAGTTGCAAACGTCATCTACATGTGCTAGATTTCTTCGCATATTTGCCAGACATATGTAGATCCGAGCATTATCAGCATGTTTGCCAAACATAGTACTTGGTAGCATCAATCATTTCTGTCCGCGCGGTGTTACAGCAACGTAATCGACACGAAAAGAAAGGGAATTGATAGCAGCAATAACATAACTTTATTTTATAACAAAACTTACCGATACAAATGAAGAAAATAATCATTACAGAAAATGTTCAAAATTCCATCCATCCGCCGTAATCCATGTTTTTACATTGCCGACGCATGGATTTACGCACACGTTCAAATTGTCCAGGTGTGATACGTGCCGGCGCTTCCACGATGTTGCCGACGAGGTCGATGTCAGAGATGTTACGGGTGTCTCGTATAACAGGGATTTCACGTATCCCCACAAGAAGAAAGCAATAGGTGTGTGGCCAAGGGGGATCGTGATGATAATGCTATTGGCCTCCTGCTGCGCATTCAGCAATGAGGATAGGTCTTATCAAAGCAGTCTCGCATATTCATACTAAAATGTGCAGGCTGAAATGAGAAACGAGACGTCATGCTCAAACAAAGATGTATTGGCATGAAGCAGCTGGAACATCATCCATCATATTTAGTAATACCTTTTCTAAAAAATGCGATAAGTACGCCAGTCGAGGCATTGAGGCAGTATGTAAGAACCTGATAAAAAGTCACTAATAATACCATCTCACACTTTACGGTGAAGCGCTGTTTGACGGGCATGTGTATTCTTCAGGTTATGTGCCGACACAAGCAAGTTGTGCAAGTTCAGGACACCATCTCAAGTAAAAGTCGCTTCATCGGTAAGCAGAATCCATGGTGAAAAATCTGGCTCTATGTTACGTAGATGTACGTAATAGAATATCTAGCTATTAAAGGTGAAAAACTATGTGCACCCAGAGTAAAATATAAGCATCCCACACCTCTTATAACTGCAATTTAAAAGCATAAAGAAATAACAATGGACTTTCAACGAAGAATTACGAAATGCTTAATTACATAGTGAATATTAAAATTATAATTAATCAAACCCTACTTAAATGTAACTTAACTATGTATGATAAATATAATCAACTGCCATGTGAACCAAAGAACTAACGCATTTATGTAAATTTTTTATTTCAATAAAGCAACTTGCATGGGCGTTTTTCGTGGTTTTCCCCATGTGTAACGTGTATACGAGTCAGTTTCCCTTAGAAAGTCCTCCACAAAGGCATCCCTCCCTTTAGGCAGATAGCCCTCGTGTGCTTTGCCGTAATTGAATAATCCAATCCAATAAAGCAACCCGGATAAACAAAAAGAGCCACAGGTACCGCTGGCGGTGAGCTGAATGTAGGATGCGGCGAACCATGGGTACTCTCGGGGCTTTGTAAAGCACTGATGTATCGGGACAGTTAATAGATGAAATCAACACATGAGCACCCATTGATAAATACCTGTTGTGGTCCCCTTTTTATACTTATATCTATCTGGCTATTGGTTACTTTCATACAAATACCAATGTTTCCCTCAATGCCTGTAGGTTAGATATAATACGGGTATAGCTTGCCCTCATACAGTATGCGCTTAACGCTGGAGCGAGATACACTCAGGCTGAGTTCGTTTCCGGTTTAATCTCAATTTCCCGTACCACACTTTCTTCTACGGCAGGTGTGTGTGTGTAGTATGTTGTCGACCGATGTGGCTACTTACTCGGAAAACTCCAGCCTCACTTAATCTATGGTGGAATTGTTCAAAAAACTGATGACTTCTCAGACATCTGTTTGGGCAGTGCTCCCGGTACATGCGTCTCGCAGCTTGTCCATTGCTCTCATCGGGTCCCTAAATTTAATTTATATCGGTTAATACCACGTTGCTGGCTTCTCCTTCAATGCCCTCTTTTGAAATAATCGCACCTTGCGATCTCCAATACGCCTGTGAGCTCTCTAGTGGCGGCTAGTCAGGGTTTCGGACACAACTTCCTATGTAAAACCTGTTCGTCATAGTCTCACAGACCAGCAAGTGATGTATGTAATTCTCACAGACCAGCAGAACATAGTACCGACCAGTGGTTAAGTGTTTAAAATTGCTAACCAGAGGTAATTTAGTTAGATTTCTCCTTGCTTAATCATATGCAATGTGACCATGTATAATGAGGTTCTCGAGTTTTCCACATCCGTACGGTAAATAATGGACTAAGCTTGTTTAGGTGTTTGTAAGAAAACTGTGTTTATTAATATATTTGTCAACTGCGCACATCATGCGCGTAGTTTTACGTCTTTCATTCTGAAACAGACTCATTATAAGACGATGAATTCATTTCACGTACAACCTTAAACTGAATGACGGCACCGATGATTTCTCCATCGACCTGCTCATTTACGTAGGTTTGTGGCAATGGCTTTGTGGGAAAATTTGACTCTTTTTTTGTCACCTTGGACATATTCTCTTAGATTGTTTGCTGAAATGTGTCTCTGAATATTACTGTCTACTGCAGAAAACTTTTGAAAATGCAAGTTTGCATTCAACGGCTCATATCTTGACAAAAATTCAACAATTTTACTGGGATTTTCTACCCTACACTCCATCAACTGTATTGTTGCGTGCGTACGGGTTCGTTATGAAATGAATGCACAAGTCCGATGAAAAATGAACAAAAAGTTATTATTATCACAACAAAAATGCTTAAATTTTCTCAAATTATCATGCAGTATTACAATATCTCACAGTAGTTATCTTTAACTACTCAAATGTCCATAGAACGTAATTCCAAAACAGCTAAAGAAAGCTAATCCGCGAATTCGCTACAATCAACAAGAGCAGTTTTCTAAACACAACAACTAAGCAACTACTACCAAACTGAGATGTTTCCTCCTTTTATAAGATTTTAAAATCACGCGCTAGAATTTTCCAGTACTTTCTCGAAATCAAAGAGCTATTATTTATTTAATGCACGCGCTCTTGTATTTCAATTTTCCGGCTTAGCTTTTTTAATATTCGTCACGCGCTGCTGCGCGAGAAATAAAACCAGTTAATTTGTAATTGAACTAACATTAGCTTTTTAAATACCAAATTCGTAACACTGCCTCCTTCCCAAGGACTGCACGTCCCGGCCAGTGCAATCCCTGGACAGGAAGCTAAACTTACAACTGTGGCATAAACTGAGGCACTGAAACAATTACATTACAATATCAAACATATAAACAATAAATGCAATAACTAACTTAACAAATCAAATGCTATCAAATACGAAATGCAAATCAAATACTAAATACAAATCAAATCAAATACACATTTATAAACAAAAAGGACCATGGTCTGATACTATTTACAATTATTTACATTACGTACTATGGCCATAGTAACGAGCTAACCTGTCGTAATGAACGACTTTAGGTTTAGAGTTCGAAGACTTACGAATCCGAACCACGACGTCCATTCAGCCTGTTTAGGACTGTGTACGGCCCATCCCAAGGT